CTCTCCTAGTTCCCAATCCCATATTTTGATAGTATTGTCGTCCGAACCAGAGAACAATATTGGATGAAAGGCCACGCAAGTTACAGGTTCTCTATGTGATTGGAGCGTGAGTCTTGCTGGTGATTTAGGAAGCCAACTGGCAGGATCCTGATTTCGTCTAGAGAGGAGGGAGAATGGTGTCGCTTGATCGAGTTCGGCCTGCAAGCTCGCGGTTCTAGATTCCAGTTCCATTATCCAGAGAAAAATTAGTAACCTTTACGTATGTCCGCAATGCTTAACCACCTTCATCTGCAAGCGGACAACACTCGTCCATTTCTTCTCCAATAGTCCTTCGTATCTTTTCATGGTCGGAGCATCGAAGCTGCTACTGATACCGAGCGTTTCTTGTAATGCTGCGGCACTGCTCGATTGGTTCATCGAATTAAGGTACGCGATCATTGACTTGTGCCTGGACTCGAATCAGTGACTATAACTACTGTACGTTTTCAAGCCGGCTCACAGCTCCTCGGCTTGTCGTGGCGACAATATCTGGCTCATGGTGGCCGCATAAGCAGTGATATACTGCTGGAGGTGGTTGGGTCGTCTGTGGTTGCCACAACGTGTTACAACGCCCCAAGTCAAGTAAGCTAGCTCAGTAAGGGAATGGGTTTGTATTGCGTTGTAATTTCGAACTGGCGTAAGAGCAAGACACGCAAGGCTCACTCCGCGAAAGCAAAGTGGATCACGTTTGTTAGCGCCTCAGGCTCATAATAACACAATTAAAAGCAAATATCTAGGTATAACATTGTCGTACGATTAGGCCACCCGTCAAAAATACTAGTTACGGGATCTCACCTAAGTACGAATACTAAAACTTCTAATCCACACTTCACTCTAGCCTCCTTTTCTTCGTTTATCCGGCTAGTCATGTAATAGGCACACGTTATTACAGTGGTTACGTCATACGGTTACCAGCAAGGGTTAGACTAGAACTAGGTAGGCATGCAAAGTCGAAGTCGGGAAGTGAAGTCAAGGTCACATATTACTGTACGACTTCACTTAGCAAGCATGTGGGCCCGTGTGCATTCCGCAATTACTTAGCTCAGGGGCTCCTTTGAGATCCTCTTTTTTTATTTAGCTTTGAATCGTCAAAATAGAGACAGTCTAACTGTTGCATGGCAACTACGTGCTAGTCACGTGTGCTTATGTCACATGACCCCACTCCCTGTATTTAAGCTCTGGCCACTCCGGCCATAGACCTCTCTTTCCTTCAACATCTAGATTATCACACATTATTACAATATACTATATTTATATTGTAACACTAACCACGCTTTCTAGGCCTAGATTCTTGTGCTTATAACAAATTTTAAGCTCACTAGTTATGTAATATTTAGAAGCAAAAAATAATTACATAAAATATAAAAAGTTTTTATTAAAAATCACGGGCTTTATAATTCCCGCAATATTAAAGATATTAAAAATCCGAGAATAGGAAATTAATTACTGTAACGGATGGCGCCACCGTATGATCCGCCGTGAATAGGAACTAGGAAACAGGACTGAAACAAGGAACTAAGCTAGAGGTCTGGGCAGTACACTGAGGCATTCCTCCCTCCTTTGCTCTCCAGCTAAGTATTTTCAATACATGAGATTCTCTGAACTTTGAGCCTTCGACCATTGCATTGATCTCGCCGTCACAATTACTATACGATATAATACGGTTTATATTAATTAATATAATAGAGTTTTTTAATATTTTTAGTTATATTTAGGTCGGGCCAACTATACCTCTAGATTTGGTACTTTCTTACTCCAATAATCAGCAAATGCTCCAGTTTTCAAGCTTTGGGAATTCAGCCTTGACTCTTGACAACGTTGGCGGGGATTTTGATTGACCCTCTCGCCTTTCCCTCCGCTGGTGCTCCGTGCTCACGACTGCACGTAGCACGTGTTTACCTCACTTTTCAACGTTCAAAAGAACATCTTCAGCCTCGCCCCACCATGCGCTCAAGATCTTCTATCCAACCTTCACGTCCAAAATGTCCTCCTTCTCGATAAACATGAATCCCTCCTTCTTACTTCCCCTCCAACTCACAACCTCAATCCTCACCCTCGGCTTCACCACCCCCTCCTCAATTTTCCGTTTCGCAGCACTGCCAATCCAACTCGCACTCTGGTACCTCACCTTCCAAACCTCAAGTGAATACATGAGAGTAGCGTGGTCTCAGATCTACAACGCCTCATGCTTCATTTTGTTCGTCATGAACTTCCTGGAGATGTCTCTCCTCCGAAAATGGAGTTTCGAAGCCAATGGACCGACGTTACACCCCCCGTCCGCAAAACCTCTCTCCCCAACCCACTCCAACGGCAAATCGTCCACAAAAGTAGGCAGGAAGGTCCAAGACACGATTCACAACCGTCTAAAGTTCGGCTTGAACTCCACCTTCAGCCTCCGCGACCTCAACACACCTCATGAACAGCGCGCCGTCCCTCCTTTCTCCACCACAAACCCGGCATACATCCCTTCAAAGTCGACTTTCCTATTGAACACCGCTCTGCGCTTCGCAATAACGTACCTGCTATTGGACCTCGCCGAATCTCTGCCTCCTCCCCCCTCAACTGCGCCCTTCTCACCCTCCAAAGTCCCAGTCTTCACCCGTCTGCGAGAGATGACAGGAGAGGAGGCCGCGACGAGGATTAGCACTAGTGCTATGGTGTGGATGGTCACCGGTTGTTTGATCAGTTGTTACCTCGGCTTCCAATCCTTTATCCTCGTCGGCACTAATCTCACGCCTGTATCCTCCTGGCGGCCGCTCTTCGGTTCATTTTCCAACTCGTACACCCTACGGGGATTCTGGGGGTAGGTCTCCCTTCTTTTTTGTCCTTTTTTCTCCCCTGCTTTTGTGGGGGCCATCGGCGCTGACTGAGAAATAGTAAATCATGGCATCAGTTGTTAAGGAAACCGTTGAATAACCCGGCGATTTGGTTTGTGGAGAATGGCCTGGGCTTAAAGAAAGGCTTGGTTGCAAGGTATCTGAAGATTTTCGTAACATTCTTCCTCTCCGGCTTCATACACCTCCTCCCCGACCTCACGGCGGGTATCACCTTCTCGCAATCCGGTGCTCTGAGATTCTACTGTGTCCAAGTCCTCGGCATCATTCTCGAAGACGGCGTCCAGGAAATTTATCGGAGAGCAGGCGGGAAGGAGGGGAAGGTGTGGACGAAAGCCGGGGGTTTTATTTGGGTGGCCGCGTTTTTGCTGTTCTGGAGCAGTCCATCTTGGCACTGGCCGCTGGTTTACAGGGCTGGGACAAGGACGGAGGGGGAGGTGAGGGCGTATGGGAAAATGGCTCCTTTTACTGTGTTTGGACGGTTCTTGGGTTGAGAATGAGATGTTGTCGTCATACAGATGTAAATAGATAAGTAGAAGCTGGAGTAGATACGGTGCACACCCAGCTGGAGATGTAGAGTTTAGAGGTATGAATAAATTATAGTTCGCTCCATTGCCTGCTTGTCGGGGATAAAACTCAAACGTGAAAACCGTGGTTATGTTTGCGGCGAGCACTGCTTAAATTAGCAAATTGTATCCTTTCCTTAAATACTATTAAGTTACACCGCGAGTTTAGTACAAAAAGAGGGGAGGTGTGCCTGCCCTGGGCGGTAGAAGTAAGGCTCAAAACCCCAGAATTATCCTAATGGCTAGTTTTTGCTCATACACCACTCAGCCGACATCTTTCCCGTCGATCCATCATCCATTGAACGCTTCGTCTCCACGTTGATTTTCGCAAGCCCGAGAAAGGATAGATCTCTTTAACATGTCTCAAGCTGACGTTCCCGCCATCAATGCGGATGGAAACACGCAGTTCCACAAAGCTGCCCGGGATCTCAGTCAAGGCATGGAGGAATTAGAAGGGAGCTCCAAGCTGGGCGTCGACGTCAATAAGCCAACCATCTGGGGCGTATCCCTCTTCATACGCATTGCGGCAAAGGATGGTATGATGCCTTTCTGTCAACGCAGCTGCTAAAGCACACTCGGTGGATATTAGAGCGAACCACGAACTCCGAAAGGGTTGATACGGAGGGCATCAGGCCGTGTATCTCGCATCGATGATGTCTGACTACTTTGTGAAGGAACTACTCGCTTTTAGTGCTGATCCTGCAGGTACAATTCATGAGGGTCTTACTCCGCTGCGTCTTGCAGCTCGTGGTCAAGAGAGTAACGTGGTAGGGCTATTAATTTCTTTCTTCACCAAAACACAGGATACCGAGAAGCAGGTCGCAAATGGGACTCAACACCTAAACGCCAAAGACCAAACCGGCTGTTCTCCTTTACATTACGCCTGTCGCGCTGGTCGGTACAGATTCCACGACAAGCTATTTCCTTGGGTTTTGCCTGGCAAAGCAGCAATTGCCACCTCTCAGAAGATCTATCACGGACCTTGGACTGAACCTTCCACAGGCATAAGGTCACCCCATGACACTACTCAGCTTGAAAAGAGATTCTCCAAAATGCTTTTCGAGTCTGCCTTGAAGAGAGAGAAGGGTACGAAGATCACGGCATAAAGTGACGGGATTGCAGGGCGTTTGGGCTTTAACAACACTTCGTTGTCTTTTTTTAGCGCATTCGATCACTAAATTACCCTATAATTCTAGGCCATTGCCCTAAAAACACGCTAGAAAGCTGGAGGAAGGGGTACCTCGCTAAAGAGTCCTTTAGTAACTTCCTAGTGTATTAGATAGGCTAGTTACATGAGTTTACCTTACTACATTTACTATGTTTAGCTCCGGCTACTTATGTTATACCTTACTTCTTACCTTATTTTATTATATAACTATAAAACCTAGTATTTTATTATATAGTAGGGTAAAACATTCGCCTAAATGAAGCTGCTCGCTTAACCTCGCTTGCATGGAACCTTTAGGCACCTTCGTACTGCTAATAAAACTTGCGAAAAAATAATAGACATATTTCCACCGAAAAAAAGTTTTGCAAGAGGCATCAAAAACAAAAGGAAAATAGCTCCGAGCGTGGGTCGAACACGCGGCCTGAAGATTATTGCTATCACTGCAATCTATTCTTTGTGAGCTTGACTTCATTAGAAGTCGGACGATGTTGAGTTGAACTGACCTTCCGCTCTACCACTGAGCTATCGAAGCGATTTTCCGAGAAGGGCTTATTTCAATACATCAAAGTCAATGTTAAATGAGCCATTTTTCTTTTGCCGAACCATTCATAAGCGACGAAAAAGTGGATCAACGACAAGCATCATTGATAATTTCGTCCCCACTAACCACCTTGGAAAATTATTATACAAGCAAAAACATCTCGGAAGCTGAGACCTTCCTGGGAGCGAAGGACTTTATGTTCTAATTTGTGATCAGACATTCAGGCTAATTGATACAGGAGGTGTGTCACAAATCGCACGCAATATCCGAGGCAAGTCACGACAACGTGTGGCAGGTACACCTCCACATCTTGAATATATTTTCAATGGTTTTATAACTTCAAGCGCCTCATAATTTTCCAATCTCGTTAAAGGCAAATAAGTTCCTCCCATCCTGCCCTTTTCTAACAAATCCACTCCTCCCTACCTGCTCCTTCACAGCACTCACCAACTGCTTCAATGTATTCTCATCCCACTCATTCGCAAGAAATCGATGTCCATTCCTCAATCGCCCAACAATATAAGCTCGCTCAGGGCTCCCGTCACGATTAAATTCAACAGTATACGTCTACAGAGTCAGCCCTACCCTCTACACATATCAGGAACTCACCTCAATCACTGCCTCCCCCTCCGCCTTCTCATCCACGGTAGGAACTCGCTGATCCTCCAAAAGATCAGGAAGTGGATTAAGATCCGGATACGGAGAGTTCGGAGGTTGGTTCGAGAGGCAGACCACGTACTGATAAGTCACCATTCCGCCATTCGCAAGGACCAGCCCGTTTCGAGCTTTTCCTTTCCGAAGCTCGCGCACCATTTCGATCAGGGCCTGCATATAGTCAGAAAATTCCAGGAGGGCAGGAGGGACACTTACATGCATGGAATAATTATTTCCTGCTCCTCCGAAGGAAGTTAGACCTCCAAGAAGCGTAATGGGTTTGGATTGTTTCGTCATCGGCATACCGAGATGTTGACATGCGAGTTTTGGTACGATGGGAAAGCACCTGGAGGTATTAGAAAGACCGTGAAAGGAGTCGTAAAAGCGTACGAGTAGAAATCAAAGATGTCTATCTGTTCTTTTGTGAGTCCTGAGGACTTCAATCCTTCATCAAGTGATTTTGATATTGCGGCGCTCGAATGAAAATTCGGCCGCTCCCAAACTGGAACACATCAATGGAAGTATATTAATTTGACTTTCATACTTACAATTTCTACTGTCGCTCGTCCCTGCTCCACCAAGTGGATATATCCAACGATCTTCGGAAATGCCGAGTTCTCTTGCATAGTCAGTCGAAGTCAGGATACATGCTCCCGCCAAATTGACATTGTTAAATGCGTTCATCAAAAGAGGATCTATATGCATTAGACTCGTCCAAGAATTCAAGCCAACACATACATGGAAAACATATCATCCTATTCTTCTTCGAAACAGTAGCAATGATCTCTTTTGTCGCAGCAGGCTCACCAAAATTCCACGCCAGCGGGTTTTTCTCCGCAACTTTTGCAAAATCCGCATACAGCTCAGCGGACTCGTTATTATTCTCCTGTATCGACTGCCGCCGATGTGCTCTAAATGCATTTTCATACAGCGGATACACGTGAATAGGCAACCCCACAGAATGAAGAGTACCAAGATCTACAAAAGTAAGTGCCGGCTCAATTAATCATCGGGAAATCATACTTTCCCCAAACCTCGAGATGTCAGAAACAGACACTCCTTTGCCACTCTCGCCAGACTTCGTCCACCCAGGAGGAGGCAACTTCCCAGCAGCAGCACATGCGCCCACTTCGTTCCTCAGCACCCCCATTATCCAACGGAAGAAAACTTACATGATGCCAAAGCCTCCCCACCTGTCACAATCGCCACCTTACTCTCCCCCAAAGAAATCCTCCTCGCTGCCTGACCAAACAACTTCGCCGGCGAATCACCCCCATGATGGCTTAACACCTGATATTTCGGCTTGACATGCAACTCCTCAGAAATGAGCCTCGGCAAGTCAGAATAAACCCAGGTCCAGGTATTGACCACACCCACGCTGTCAATCTTCGACTGCAGCTCTTTCGTTGCGGAAGCAGATAGATTGGTATCTTGGATCGCTTTGAGAATGGCTTGGAGCATCAACTGCATCGGTTCAATCGCATCTTCGACTTTCGTAGAGCGGTTCTTGATGTCGCCGACCCCCACGACAATGGGTGTCTGCCGTCTGGCTGCCACCATCTTCAGCCGCTGACTGATGCACGAACTTTGGTGGTAATAATCTACGACAACTAAAATGACATGACATACGAAGAAGGAGAACATACATGAAGAAGAAAGAGATTTACCATACCGTTGAATAGGGTTGCATTCTGGTATCAAGATCCGTTCTAGCCCTCCCACTAATATCGCCATTCGCGAATAGCACCCTCCTCTTCGCGAATGGCGTATCTTCGTGACTAACAAGTCCCATTCGTAAATGTAACCTGCCAGTCACGAAGTTGTACGCTAATGTGAGGCCATTCGCGAAGGGCGTATGCCACCCGGGAATAACCTCACATTAGCCACTGGCCCAGTTAGGAGTTAGTCTAATTAATACGCGAAGTGTAAAGTAGGGGTAAGGCATTCCTAATACTTTGCACCACCCGTATTAATTATAACTTGAATTCTTCTATCTTTTCCTTTTTTTTACAGTATAGATAAGTAGCTAGATTAAATCAACACTTAATCTTATTTTCCACTTTTTCGGCACGTGCCAACTGAGCAGCCGCATATTCGTGACTGGCATATGCTAGTCAAGAATAGGCTTATATACTTTACTAGTATACTAAGTAGGATTCGTGACTGGCATATGCCAACCGGAAATAATAAGGTATTCGCGACTGGTATCCCTTCCCCTGGTAAGACATTGCCACGCTAGCGGCTGCATAAATGCGGATGACCTGATTCGAGGAGACTGTTGTAGACTTTTGTATTTTAAGTAAACAGGGGATATAAATTCATCACTGGCTTACAGTACGTGCTAGTCGCCAATAGACTAGTAAATTCGCGAATGGGAGGATATTCGTGGTTGCACTAGAACAAATTCTTCCTCATGCCTCGGTTCTCCGCTCGTAGCAGAGCTGAAAATCAGGCCTCGGCAGTAGTGCGGGGAGGAGGCCACCCGCCTCCGGTTAGTCGATACACCGAAATCTGGGCCGAAAATCAAACCCCCATTACTCTCTTAACAGCCAGCACACTTAGGTTCCCTTAAAAAATAACATCAATTAATGCGCAGTCCATAGTATTACCCTCGATAAATTTATAAAAACTTTATCGTCACTGCCATGGAAGTCAATGTAAAAAACATTGATTTTCGGCCCGGATTTGGGTGTATCACGACTAACTGGAGGCGCGTGGAGGCCTAGGTCAGGATGGCAGGATGCTTCGATAGGTTTTGACAAATCAACAAGCTCGCAATTCCCAGTGGAGGAAATACATCTCGTTGATGAGCGAACGGTCTAGGGTCCCCTCGCTTTGATGTTTTCTATGTGACACAATAAGCTCGCCAAAGGAAAAGGGGTGTCGAGTCTCAGGTTGTCATTCACACCGAACAAAACGACAATGAAAGTGGCAAGGAAGGCCTCACAGGCTCACAGCACATGCCGATCAGCCACAGCTGCCGCTCTGGGAGAAGCTGGAGATACAAGTAAATAGCGCTTTCCACAAGGGGCAAAGCCTACCGAACGGCTGGCTCGGCAGAGATCAGTGCATCTTCCGGGCTTCACTCCGCTGAAACCCTCCCCACCCTTCCCCATCATTTATTCCTTTCTTCCTCATCGTTGACACTCATTCATTTGAATCAGCTCGGTCGTCCTCGTCACTCAAGAGTAGCAATCGACAGAACCTCTCTAGAATCTGTCTATTGTCAACTCGATGAACTAGATGGAACAAGCAGTCGATATGAGTTGAGCGGCAATTTCGCTTATTAGGGAATCGGGCTCGTAAATACGGGCGGGAACAAGCGGGGCTGCGAGCTTCAAACATACACAACCTCCTCGATCACCGGATGACTTCTTGCGCATTCGCAGTTGTGTAGCATCCATGGCCAGTTTCCCTTCAATGAGATGGCTCCTTAGGTTCCACAACGTCGCTTCAAGTCACATCGTCGCCCGCATGGAGTCAGGTACGGTTGGTGGCTGTCGCCTGAAAAGGAACCCTCGTGAGGGACCCGCTGAGGATTTCTATTCCGCTTTTCCGTACTGCGATTGAAAATTCTGGCTCCAACCACCATTGTCTTGAGGTTGCCTTCAGAATCTGCATGGAAAAAAGCAAGCAGAGGCCAGCGCCAACGTCCAGGAGCCGAAGGAATGGCCAGCGAGATGCCTTGGCTTCGAATACTCGTGCAATGCCAACTTTCTTAGAGATCAACTCGGCGAGGCGTCTTGATTATCTGTATCCATTCCCTTGTTTTCTTTCCCTGGTATCAACAGCGGATGGGACACACCTTTCTTGCAAGGGTGGAAAGCTTCTTCCTTAAAAACTCGAGTAACCAATGAATGACCAGTTTCTGCAATGCCTCGACTCTCTGTGACTGAAAAGTGGACCCAACGCCAATGAAATGCAAAGATGATCAAAGTAAAGGCACGGCACAGCAGGAACGTAAAGAAAGGGGGAGCGTTTCCGAAGATCAGTCGATCCGATTTCCATTCAAATGTACAGAGTAGGCCCGAGCCCTCTATCATCTAGAGCCATCCGCCCACCATCTGTCTCTAAATCTCTAGTGCATAATACAATGTTGCCCCATGCATTTGGATCAAATTCAATCCTGCAAGACGCAGATATGATTAGATCACCAGGGAGCGAATAGCCACGCGGCTATTCCATTCACCCCCACGGAGCCAAATGTAGGAGGCATATGCAAGAAAATAGAAAAGGCAACAATTAGACCGTCCACCGAAACGCCATAGACATGAGATGTACCCCAACGCCATACTGCAAATCAGCCTCCGCCTTTCGTTTCAAATCAATTGTAACAA